CTTTGACACTGGCAGGGCCCACGTGGGAGAAACCATCTGACAGCTCTAACAGGAAAGTTCAGGTTACCGTGTGCTGTGAGCAAAAGTGCACAGGTCATTTCTGGTGGGACTTCCTGCTTTTCCTCCTTGCAACAGCCTTTAGATAGAGGTGGAAGGTCCATGGAGCCCACATCAGCTGTGCTTTTGGCTGCATTTTTAAATTAAAACTGCAATTCTCTGATTTACATAGACAGTTTTGTAAAGATCTACCCTTTTTTTTCGACGGAGGGTAACTCTGAAAAAGAAGTGGCTCCTTACCAGATAGCATCCCTCTCTCTCAAGACTGCAAAACCTCTGAACGTGCCTACGAGACATTGAGGTCAATGCAACTTATGCATCTAAAGAGTCTGAGATTTTGGGTCAGTCTGCCTCCAGGGTGTCCTTGTTCCTGCAAGTCAGCTTGGAAAAGACTGTGCAGGATTAAATTGCAAAATTGTGTCATAGTTCCTTCTTTCAACCCACAGAGCATGAGTGATGGACTGGAAGGAGCCGGAGCGTGAGTACAAAGCAGAAGCAAGAGGATGCTGTGCAGCATGGATTTGGTCAGTGCTCTGTGCAGGGTTGGGGTAAAGGTGGTCGTGAGGTAAAATGCCCCATCTGGCTTCAAGACACCTTCTTACACCTGTGATTAGTGTGGGCTGGCAGAACAGTATAAGGGTCATTCTAGCTCATGTTTTCTGCAGAAATGGCTTTCCACGAGGCATCAAGAACTACCCTTGTTGGGGCACACCACGCTGGGCTGGCAGCAGCCACCGGAGGCCAGCTAGCAGGCAGGTTGGCTCAGCTGCCTGAGCTGGCACAAACAGCGGCTGTGCCACTTTCAGAGAGCAGCTTTTCTTCAGTAGTGGTCCACGTTCCCGGAGCTGGTCCTCAACAGCCCCCTGACTATCCTGCTCCCAGATCTGAGCATTTTGCAGCTCTCCCCTCTTGCTCTCTTGGCTCTCCCTGTCCTTTCCAGAGGCTTGCTGGGGCCCGTAGGGGAGATGTCTCTTCGGAATGAGAAGAATGTGGACGCTGGACCCAGTCGTGGCAGCTGCTTTCACAACTCCCCTCCTTGAGCAGACTCTGCCCTGCGAGGGCAAAAGGACAGTGAAGGTCCTTGCCCCGGATTTCCTCTAATCCAAATGTATTGCCAGGTGGCCCCACACCATAAGAGCTAAGCCTTCGGCATGAGTCACTGCTCACCTGCCGTCAGCCACTGCAGTGCTCATAGTTCATTTTATTTCTCTGCATGGCTGGGCATGACCTATCCCAGGATCTGTCCCTGAGCTCTCATCATGGGTGTCTCCCCACACCCGAGGTACAGACTGGCTTTCACAGGGGGAAGGGGATAGATCTTAATTATGAGCTTGGCACACTGGTCACTCCTTTGGGCAACGTGGGTTCTGGAGCTGTTATCCTAACCTGTCCCTCCCTACCATGACAAGGCATGGGCTACATTTTGTCTTAGAGAGAAGCTTCCACGTACTCTCTGCCCTGCTGCAAACAGTTCAGGATGAGGGGGGTGCGTGGAACTGCAAATTTGGCTATGGTTTCCTCTGTTCATTCTCCAGCTGTTCTAACTAAGGAGGTATTTTCCAAAACTCTCCCAGTGGGGTTTGAAGAAATCATGCTCCAGACGGCAGCCCCCAGATGTACTGTTTTGCTGCCCTCCCTGCAGTGTAACAGCAGAAAGCAGTTCAAGAAAGGAGGCACCCTAGATTTCCCCCTGGGCAGTTTACACGGGGAACTGCTGCCAGACCCCATGCCATGCTGTGGGATGACTGGGTGTAGGCTGGCTCTGACAGAGGATCTGTATAGTCACATTTGAGCCAGTTCCTCAGCACATTTATTCTGGGCCAGTATTATAGCACTGTGGCTACCAGTTAGTTATCAGTCCTGGCAGGGGCTGTCAAAAGAACAGGCCAATGAATAAGAGTCTCCTTTTCTGTGTATGCTGCTTTGCCTCAGCAGAAACAATACCTGAAGTATTAAGCATCCATTTTCAGATGGGGAGATAAGAAATCCCCTTCCTTGCCCTCTCTTTTGAGTGTATAAAAGAGCACCTCTGGGTCTCTTAATTCTCCCTGCCTTGAAGGAAGGGTAAAGAAATATTTCAGTTTTTGCAGAACAGGAGTAAGGAAAAAAATTAGGAGTGCCACGCCCTGCAGCCTGCCCCTGGTTGTGTTGGGTGACAGTGCTGTCGCCTCCCTATTGAAGGGTACAGGCACAGGAGCCCTCTGAGATCAAAGGGGTCTAGTAGTGCTATTTCTTGTCTTGTGGGGCACTTGAGTATCTGAGGGCAAAACCAAACAGGCAACAGGTGCCTCCCCCTTCACCATAGGGTGTAGCACTCGGTGAAGAGAGCACCCATCCAGCAGACAGAGGGAACAAGGGTAGGTGAGCAAGTGGAAATGTGCCATGGAAGGGGTGTCACAGCTGCTCTGTGGGGTTGGCGGGGCCTGTGAAGCCCCGTGCGAGCAGGCAGGGCTAAGGAATCAGGCTGTACACTAACACCACTCCTGCTTTTGCTCTGAGGAAAAACTCAAGCAGGTGCAGGCTGAGAGCCATGTGCCAGCCTTGCAGCTGGGAGAGTGATGAATAGAGAGAAGGATTCCTGCTTGCAGCAGATCTTCTCCCCACACCCTGCTACCCACCCCATCTCATTATAAACAAGGCCCGGAGGTGGGCCTTTTACCAAAAAAATGCTAGCTATTATCGGCAGATCTCCCAGAAGTGTTTCAAAATACAACCTCTGCTCCACCCCAGGCCACCAAAGAGTAATTCCTGCATGCACTTTTCATTGCTTGCACACTGCAAAATTCAAAGACCACCGGCTAGGCCAGCAGGGCCAGTTTTCCAAGCCCAGGGCTCTGTGTCCTCAGCAGGGTAGTGGGGAGCACTACCAACCCCACAGCTCCGAGGACACTCTCCAAAACGCAGTGTTTCTCTAGCAGATCCCAAGTCCCTCCTCCATTAATGTGTCATTGGGTGTGGCTCAACTCCATCTCTCTGAGATGTCCACCTTGGGATGGCACGTGCCTGGCGGAGATGCCCAGCTCTCACAGGCGGGTAGCCTGGATGAACGGCTCAGACTGTGTGCCACGCGTTTGAATGGTTAGTCATAGCTGGGGGGGGCTTCCACGGGAACCTACTTCCACGGGAGGAAATCCTTAGGTGGGTGTGCAGTGCCTCACATGAAGGAGAGACATTTCAGAGTGTGCTTCCAGGCACTGCAGTGTTTGTGGTAGTAAGATATCTCAATTTTGATCCTTTTCCTATGCTGATGCCCAAGGGAGGAAATAGAAATAAGCTGCCTTTAAGCTTGCACTCTCTCAGTGCACACAGTCCCCAGGTTTGGCGGCTGTGTGAGGTGGGCTGGGTGGAGGAGTTCAGCCGATTTAAACCTCTGTTATCATAGGAACAATAGCTAATAGGCTCCAAGGTTTCACACTCTTCATGCCCAGCTGCCTCTAGTGTGTTTGCTCAGAAAAGAATCCCACTCTGTCCAGAAATGTCAAGTGGGCAGTTCCTGGGCAAAGCTGCTCTCAGAGGTGCCCTGAGGAATTCAAAGCTTTTGAGTGAAAGGTGTTCTGTAGACACAGCATTTTTTTTTTTTTTTTGCAAACCGATTTAATTCTTAATTGTGCTAAATGACAACTTCTGAAAATGCTTTCTACCCAGAGTAATTTCTGACTGCCCTGGAAACACTCACTGCCTCAGTCAGCTTCACTACCACTCAAACACGTCTGTTTCTCAGGCAGGAGGCACCCCTGCATGAACGAGCCACAAGCAAAAGGGTCAGAGGGGACCTCGAAAGTCACAAAATCCATCCTTCTGTCATAACATTAAGGTCAGCTCAGCTTCTTGGTCATTTATATAGTAACTATCCACAGCACCAGCCTGAGCCCCAGCCATTCCCGCCTGGACTGGGCTAAATACTGTTTCAGTCTCTTTCAGACCCATGAAACTGTGCAGAGGCGAGCTGGGTTCCTGCAACAGGAAACAAAGCCTGGTGCCAACAAACTGGCTTTGCTGCACACCCTTTCTCAGACCTCAGAAATAGCTCATATTTGACCGCAGGATGCAAACCATAGCAGACAGATGAAGTGAGAGAACTGGTGAAGAAGAGGAGGGAGGGAGGGGGTGGCTGCATGGAAAAAGTCAGGTGAATAGGCAAAATTGCCAGTCTCGGCAATCCTATGTTTCTCATAAGTGCCTCCCCCCACCACACCCCACCACACAGCCCCTGGTGCTCGTAGCAATTGCAATTCCACCCGTTCCCTCACTTTGCCTTTCAGTGCTCCCCACTCCAGGGCCTGTGATGCCAAGGAAGGTGTAGCATGCATTTCTACCCATTGCGTGGCTTTGCTTAAGAACTGGGGTTTGGCCTCAGCCTCAGAAGCTGGGACCCCAACAGAAAAACAGAGGTCTTCCCCACTGTACCCCAAATTCTGCACCTTTGGGGCCTCTCAGACTTCACTTGGAATGATTGTTGTTGTTTTAAATTAAAGTTTGGCAAACTACCAGTGGAGGGGGAGCGAGACGTGCAGAAAAAGGTGAGCGAGAGCTAGAAACGCTGAACCAACAGCCATAGTTTCAAGCAGGCGTTTTCCCACGTTTGTAAACAATGCTACTCCAAAGGTGTGCGGCAGCTCCTGCGCCGGGGCCGGCCCAGGTTGGGCACCCGCTGCCTGCACCCTGCCTGCACATGCCCTGGAGGCGAAAATAACACTGCTGCTGCCAGCGCTCTACCGTTGCAACCGGGGTGCCTCGCAGTGTCGCTTTGTCCCGTCACGCAGCTGGATTTCAAAGCAAAAGCTGGAAGGTCAAGGTGTGTGTGTGTCCCATAGCCAGCTCGTGTGTCAAGATGAAGAGAAGCGGCGGAGCAGAGGAAAAAAGCAGGCTGGAGCTGCCAGGCGAGGGAAGCAGCCACCAGTGAGGCAGAAAAGTTGCTGAGGATTTTCAAGAGCAGCTCTTACCTTGTGGGCTGGGGCTGGTCCAGGAACCTGTGGGAGCAGGAGCGCGCTGGGCTGTAGTGCTGATGTCCCGAGCGCGGAGCTGTAGTGAAGGGGAGTGACCTGGTGGTGGTTTAAGTTTCCTCCGATGGTGCAGGAGGGTGGTGTCTTTCCACTCTGTTTTAAAGGAGTTACTATGAATCAGTCTGCCTTTAAAGAGAGGGAGAAGGAAAAAAAAAAAAAAAAAAAAAAAAAAGAAAAAAAGAATTAATGAGCTACGCCCTGCTTTGTTGGCAGGGAGTCAAGAGTCACTGGGAGGAAACCAGCGATTCAAAGAAATCTGTGCAGAGCTGCGTCTGACTCAGTGTGCAGAACAGAGACCGCAGCCTGGAAAAACGGCTGACGTTGATCCAGCTGAGTAATAGAGGCCCACAACAGCATCTGTTTATAAAACTGAAATTCTGGTTGTCATAAAAAAAATGTATAGTTACAAATGCAGCAACGGGACTCCAACAATACAGTCGCTCAAACAAACAAAGAGCGGGTTGGCAGGGGGTGTCATGAGGATGGGTGAGTCACCACATCCCCTCCCCATGCTGCAGAGAGAAGTTGTCGAGGTTGGTGGCACGGGGGAATGCAAATTGGACCTGTGGGGTTGGCATGGACAAGACTTTTGGGGTTATACCAAGGAGCAAAGATGCTCAAAATGCAGCTCTGGCCTGGTGGTGACTCTGGAGCAAGTTGGCCAGATGGTGGTGGTTTGCTTCCATGGAGAGAGCAGGCAAGGAAGATGAAATAAGGAGTTTGTGATTCACAGTTTTCTGAGGTCAGCATTTCTTGTCATCTTAAAGACCTCTAAAAATAGATCCTTTACATTTGCAGAGAATTGACTGGTGTAGTTGTCTTGTGAATGCTGCAGGCAAGATTGAGTGGGGATGTGCTTGAGATGTGGGTGAAGGAGGAAGAAGTTTGTCAGAAAGCATCTGGATTAAAATGTGATCCATGTTGTGATAGAGATGGTGATCAGCTACTGCGAGGAATCAAGCCTGCCTGTGCAGAGAACCAGAAAGAGATAAGCAGATACTGATAAAATACCTGGCAAAGGCCTTTCCCACTTTAATGAGGAGGACACTGGATTCCCTTTATTTGAAAGACGAAGCTGATGCTCTTTGAAGTCTCCACGGATTAAAAGGCCTTTCTATTTTTCAGATTATTCCTTCTCTCTGATGTTATTGATATGTGTCCAGCCTAATTTTAGACTATAGTAAACTGCTTAAAAACAGAGCTATGGATAAAGCAGCAGAAAAGATGACACGTGGTGGGCAAAGACATCATGCCCAGACAATCCCATGGGAATTTTGCCACTGATGGAAAAAAAAGAGAGATTTTTGTTCTGCTAAAATAGAATAAGCCTGTGTTTGATATCTGTGGGTTAGAACATGCTTCTTGGTGATACACATGGATACGATATCCAGGGAAAGGAAAATATATTTACTTATCCTGCAGAAGGAGCTGGCATTTACATTGAGCTGCACTGTCCTTTTGCCTTTCCCTGTTCCCCCCAGCGGCGTTTATTGGAGTGAGAGATGCTCAGCTCCACAAAAAATACTGGAGCACACAGTCCCAAAGCAGACTCCTGTGGATTAGGGTGGAGCATCCTCTACTCCGGACCCGTTCACAAGTGACTGCCCACCTGCCAGAGGGCAGCTGCCTGCACACTCACAGAATTGCTTAGCTGAGACCCAGCAGCCAAAACACCTGCATCTAAAACACACAGGGGGCAACAACAGTGGAGCCCCCTAAGAAGTTGGATAAGAAGTGATCCGTGACTGGCAAAGAATTATTTGTTCAGAGAGAGCAAACTCGTTCTGTACAAATTGCTCTCTATCCTGGGAGGCTGTGTCAGGCGACGGCCAACATCAGACACTTCGCAGGGAGACAGCGGGGTTCTGCAGTGTCAGCGGCAGCTTGCCCACAGGAGCGTTGCTTCCTAGCTCTCCATCTGGAAATGTTGGTGGCCAGCCAACAGAGTAAAGAAAAGTAACCAGACAGGCCACATAGGCTGTGACTGTGGCCCCGGAGGAGCACTGGTACTCTGCCAGCAGTTGGCTTCATCCCTGTTGCTGTACCTGTCAAGCTGGGTATGAGAGGGGGTAACAGCAAGTGTCAAGCGAACAAAGGTGCAGATAGCTGCTCCTCTTTAGGAGCAAAGCTGCATGTAGGCAAGATGGTGGTTTAAGCAAGTGAGGTTAACCCCCTAATATCAGGGTACAATGAGGTCAGGGAAAAGCTCAGCTTCCACTGAGAAAACTGGTGGAATTTCCACTTTGCATCTGGACAGGGAGACAGGGTACAAGTGAGAGACCTTCCTACCAATAGATAAAGGTAGGAGAACGTTTCAAGTTGATAAGATTTGTCATGTTTTCTGTAGCTGTTTGTGGATGAAGTGTTAGCTCAATAAGCCTTTATGTGTGTATGATGGAGAACCAGCTCTATCTACCCATCTAGAGAAGAGGCTGGTCTTTCTGTGTGCCTCCGGCAACTTTTCCCTTTAGGGTGTGTGGTTTGCACAAGACAGGTTGCAGTAGAAAATGCATGACGTGAAAAGTCTCATCATGGGACCAGAAGTCTAAAGCATGCTGTCAGTTTGACACACTAAGTTTGAATTGCCTAAGATCCCCACACCATAATCCATGGTGTCCCTTGACCTGAGCATCACTCATTTCACAGGCTTTTATGAATGCCTACCGCCAACTAATAGGAGGTGGTGAGGTCAAAGCCATGACAACTGAAGCTGTGGGAATCTGGGATGGCATTTCCATGGGCAGTGAGAAAGTGAAGCTTTCCCATGTATGCCATGCCTTTGCTGAAGCTCTTCCCAAACAAGCAGTTTGCAGCGGCTGTATGTTTGTTTGTTTTGCCATGCCCCACACCTTTGCAGACATCACTACTGTGTGTGAACAGTAGTCTCTGGTGTAACAAGATGAGCATACACAGTGACATTAGATAAGACAAACATTAAGCTTTCGCAAGCCCAGATCAAAGGAGGAATGGATGATAAGGAGTGGGAGATGGGGTGTGGAGTTGGGGGTGGGGGAGGCATCGTCAGGCTCAGCTGGAAGCATCCAGAACAGATTGTTTCTAGAGAGGGAGGTGCCAAGGGAAATAGGCCATGGTCTCTCTGCACTTTCTTCACATGCCAGAATCTATGCTTGAGATAGGTCTGTAGCTGGGTTCCCATGCTCTCTGGGATGCTTTCAAGTACAAATTCAACGGGAATTCAACATATGCTATTTGAACATGCTTTTCTGAATAACTATCTCCAAACACACATTGCATATTAACCGACCACCCCCCCCCCCCAGTCTAAACAGCACATCTTTCCACCTAAAGATACCTAAACCCTTTCCTCTCATATGCACTATTTACTCTGTGCAGCGTACTGCTGTCCAGTTGCAGAACAAGTGGGAGTGATATCCTCCATGGTGTTTGCTACTTCTCTGCTTGTCATGACATGGAGAAGGAGGGGTTGAGCCTGAGACAATGTGTAGGTTTAAAAAAATAGAAACCGAAAAGTTTCATACTGCTCTGTAGTGGTGTAATTGATGTGTTTGCTTGTGTATCCTGGGGTTATCTATGTGATACAATAATTTGCAGAGACATATGTTACAACTCAGACCCTTATGTTAAACTGCATTTGTCACGCATGACTCTGCAGGGCTTCAAATGGAGCATTCAACCACTGGAGAGGAAAGACTGATACTTCTCTTATCTATAGCATTGCTCAGTTCTGAGGAAGCAGATAGTGGAAGTCACACCTTTATGGTTTTGGTCATTTCTCTAATGTGTCTTGTCATGTTCCTGTCCCTCCAAGGAATGCTAGACTTCCAGGACTTAAGGAAGCTGACTTTACAAGCTCAGTGGCAAAAGAAAGGAGTGGATTGCAGTCAACACTGAAAAGATGTAACTCTTCCTGTGCACAATCTGTTTTTTGGTTTGGTTTTGAGGTTTTTGTTAGTTTTTTGGTTTTTTTTTTTTTTTTTTGCAGCAAGGATGATCTCTGGCCCAAATACTTTGGTAAACTATGTGAAGAACAAAACCTACATAAACATCTACATCTGATTTTTCCAAAATCATTAAGAACTGACACACTGACTGATCTTTTGAAAGTGGGTGATAGGTACCGAGTTGAAAATGCCCTGGGTTTATAATGTTTGTGTAGGAATGGTTTGTCACAAAGCTTTAACAGTCAAGAACTGCAATAGTTCCCTCCAGGACTTGAGCATATGAGTGGGGTCTACGCCAGAATACATTCCTCACATCCTACCTACCACATTTGGGAAGCCCCGAAATCGTCCTTGCTCCTTAAAAGGAATAAAAAATTAGTATGGGCATGAGATAAGGAGACCATAATTTGCATAGTGATTAGAATTTAGTTTGTCCTACTATGTGAAAAGGACCATACACTTAATTCTTATGTTGGAAAGGGAGATGAGGATGGGTTATGATTCCTCTGTGCAGTGGGTGGACTGGCATCTCACGCTGTCTTAGAGTACTGATATTCACACTGTGGACTTTGCAGCTGATTTGGAGATTCTGCCAAACTGGGTAAATAGCAACTGGCTGACATGTTTCGACTAGTTCTCAGGGGGTCAGTTAGACCAGAAGTATCTTGCCTTCCCAGGTGCTATTGGGTGGGCTGAATGTGATCCTCATGTTCTGAACACCTGCGGGAGGCAGCATTAGCTGGCTGGTGCTGTGAATAGAGACATGAACCTGGGAAAACATAACTTTCTTCCATGTTCTGGAGAAAAAGAAGGTGTGGTGAGATGAGAGACACCTGAAATGAAGCAGTCTTCCTCTGCTTTTATGAGAGTGGGGGGAACTGCACTCCCCATCTCATTTTCCCTTACTTTCACCTCTACCTCAATCTTTTCCTTTTTTTTTTCCATTGGAAACAGCCCATCTGAAGACTTTTGCATGTAATGTGCAAATGGTTCCTCTGCCCTTGCAGTCCCATCTGAGCTGTCACTTTCCCCAAGAACCTCTCCCATTCCACATCAAAGAAGTAATGGCTGGTGGTATTCTCCACCTGCACATGAAGGCCTCTCTCATCCATTCGGGCAACCAAGGAGGTTTTCTTTATTGCTTTCTCCTGCTCCTGGCTCATTTCTACCTCTGCCTTCTGCGGCTGCTGTATTGTGCAG